TTATTTGCAAATTTTCAATTTTAAATATTTTGATTTCATTAAGTCGTATGGTGTACTATACAAAGCCATTAGCAAAACTGACTAACTTTTTAAAATCCTCAAGGATTATTAAGGAACAAACACAGACTGAAACCGGCCTTCCTGCTGGCAAGTAATTCTACCCCTTCAACCTGCCACCACAAAAGACGAAAAACCTCCTTATCCTCCTGCAACAAAAACCTCCTCTACCCTCCTTATTAACAACAAAGGTGTCTAGGCTATCAGGGGGTACTTTATGTATTATGTATATTTTATTTTATAACCAACGTAGAACAGCCAACTCAATTTTTGGGTTTACGACTACTAATGTTAAACTCCGTAGCCTTGTAATTTTGAACCCAATCCAGAAGACAAGGGAATTCCTGGATCGAGTATTGGGAGAAATTTGCCTTCGTGGAGGAATTTTTGATGGAGCTAAGAAGCACTTACGCTGCATGGAGAGGAAGATCACGAGAACCTCCCATGGTTAGCCTGACGGCAAGGGGACTCTAACCCTTGATACGTCTAATACTGAGGATATTTCACGTCAGCACTGTGGTTTGGTGCAAGCCGGATGCAGAATTCGTATCGACTGGGATTCGAACCCGGTTCGCCTCATTGGAAGGCGAACACTCTAATTGTATTATGTATAGCACTTAAAAAATCAGTTTCGGGTGTACAGGACAAATGTGTAACCTTAAACCTATAAAGCATTAGCCTAGGGTATTCAGTTATTGGCACTCTAGCAACCTTAAAAAATATCAGTGTAGGGTATACCAGGCAAATCTATGCCTGGCAGTAGCATTTAACTAAAAGAAAAACATCAGTGTGGGATATACTAGGCAGTAGCAGTTTGTAGTAAATAAAATTTATTTAAGGGGCTCTGAAAACCTGGCAAAAACACTTGATAAATGATAAAATCTTAAGTACGCTTATAGACGAAATTGAAGTGGGTAAAACAATTTCTGACTATATTTATTGATCTCTCAATCAAAATTTAAAATATCCCTAGTGGTAGACGGATCATGGGTTAGAGTCCCCTTGACGTCAGGCTAACTGTGGTTGATTTTCGTGGTTTTCCTCACCATGTAACGAAGAACGGTAGAGTTTCATAAAAAAATCCTCCATAAAAGCAAATTTCTGCCAATACTTGATCCAGGAATTTCCTTGTCTTCTGTATGGGGTTCATAATTACAGGGCTACGGAGTTGAACATTAGTAGTCGTAAACCCAAAATTGGTTCCGCTGTTCATCAACGTTTATGAAATAATAAAAAAACTATACATTTCTGCAATTAAAAATAATTCTTTATTTAATGAATTTTCTTTTATTTATTGTAATTTTTCTTTTATTCTGTGATTTTAAAATAAAACTATATTTGCACTATTCTTTTTTTTAAATGAGGAAAGGTGTTTTCTGAGGCCTTTAAGTAAATTTTATGCGTAACAAAGTCCTACAGCCTGGTATAACCTGTACTGATTTTAACTTAAATGCCACTGGCCGGTATACCCTACACCGAAATTTTTTAAATCTAAGTTCAACTACCCGGTATATCCGACACTGATGGTCTTTAGGGTTACGAACCAGTGACTGGAATACCATAATTTGATGCTTTTTAGGGTCAAGGGCAAATGCTCTTTATACATTGGTTCCCCATATCCAACAGGTTAAGTTCTATACATAATACGTAAATACAATACTATACTAGTAAATATGTTACATTATGGTAATAAATCTAATCCTGACTCCAATATCTCAAATTTAATTCTGGCATGAGACTTCTTAATCTTGGAATGATAGAATCTTATTTATAAGATAGTGCTTGATTATTATAAATTGCACCCCCACAGGGTGATTTGCATAGCTTACTAGCGGCGCAGTATACTTACTGGTAGGAGTGAGGGTTATAATTGAAGCAACTATTGCGCGCAGTTCACACTGTCCATCGTGGCGTAATTTCCATCGTGGCTGTACTTAACGTGCAGATTATTAGGCTACAAAATTGGAATAGCCATTCCTTTCGCAGATAATCAAAATTGTGAAGACATTAGTATTTTTCAACTATCAGCCATATCCATTCAAATAAAAATGATATTATAATTCAAAAAATAACGACTATAAATGATTTCAAACGGTTTTAATGAGCAACAATCGCATGCCGTAGTCGAAGAGTAAAATTTTATACTTCAAAATAATACAGAGAAAATGGCAATAAGGTTAAGAAGTGCTAAATAAATCTAGGTAATTTAGCATCTAGGATATTAGCAAATTAATGCTGAATCATATGAATGTGTTACAAAGATTAATTTGGTTTTAACCTTAACTGTTTCCTGCAACAGCGATTCAGAAAATTATCGGTAACATTTACATGTCACCCTCTATATGTAATTAAACATTTACAAGAATGAAAATTTCAAGCAATATAATTTGAAATTTAATATCTGACCGCATTTTAAAAATGATTTAAAAGTTTATTTAAAATAATTTTAAGGAAATCTGCAGATAATATAGAAATTATTTACTTTATATAAATGGAGTAAAAATCAAAATTTATATAAATAGCATAAAATACGAAGCTCTAATCTATATATAATAGATTATCGAATAACCAAATTATTAAAAATTTTAATTTATTTCCTGCTCTTACAGTTAACGAGAACTGTGATTGCTTCTACAGATTTTTATGTAACGAAGAATACTTTAATGTCGCGAACTATGTATGAAATAGTTAAATTGCTGTGCCGTTTGTCTATGAAGTAATGTTTTTAAGGGTAAAAAAAGAGCAATTCGTGCATTAGTGAAGATAATATTGAATTACTTGTTGTTACTGCTGTTGTTGTTGTTGTTGTGGTTCATTTACGTCGCACTAGAGCTGCACAATGGGCTATTGACGACTGTCTGGGAAACATTCCTGAGGATGATCCGAAGACTTGAAATCACAATTTTGATCCTTTGCAGAGGAGAATGCACCCTTGCTTCGGTAGCCCAACGACCTGCACGTGAAGTCAAGCACTTTACGGTAGAACAGTTTAACGAGGACCAATACCGCACACCCTCGGTCCCTACGCAGACTAATCCAAATGGTTACCCACCCGCACACTGACCGCAGGTGCTGATGCTTGACTTCTGTGATCTGCTGGGAACCGTGTCGTAACGATCAATCAACTGTGGGGAAATATTGAATTATAGCCAGTTAATAACTTAAGATCACTGGCCTAGTGGTTACCATATATGGCAACGTTACTTTTAAAAAGTAACGAGTAAAAGTACAAGTATTTTTAAAAAAAGTAACGAGTAAAAAGTAAATATCTTGTATTTTAAAAAGTAACGAGTAAAAAGTACAAGTAAAAGTACAAGTACTAAACAAAAAAAGTAACGATTTAAAAGTACATTTCTAGGAATTCGAAAATTCAAAGTAACCTAAAATTTCATTGACTAATATTCTTATGGTCTTTAATGTTTTTGCAAAATTGTTGTTATTTATTTAATTATTTTTAATTTTGAAAGTTATGGGCATTAATTTATTTTTAAATTCGGAAGAATATTATAATATAATCTTAAAATATAATCGTATAATATAATTTTATAATCAAATAAGATTTTAATATCAAACTTTTTATGGATTTGCACGAAAAAGAAATTTTATCTATTGATTTTAATTTTTAGTTTATTATTTTTATTTATTTAAATTACCATTGATTTAAAATTGTTTTACTCTATAGAAACGCGTTTTAAAAGCACAAACATAAACAAAGCAAACACGGGGTTTCAGATAGCTTTGTGATGTTTGAGCTAGTAAAAAATAATTGAATGTGCAGTATAAGCTGAAACAGAACAGTCTACAGTTTTATTTGTATGCGGAAGTCATGCGAGAAAATCATTTTCCGAACATTTCTGCCTAGTGGAATAATAAAAATTTGTAAACGAATTTTAGTATCAGACGCTAAATTAATACCTTCGAGTTTTCAAGAGTTAAAATAGTAATTATAATAGTTTTCAATAGCACAAATAGTTTTGAAGTTCTTAGATATTTGACTGGGCGTTGTTTGACAAGGTCGGGCATAAACAAAATTTTAGTAAGAAATGAACGAAGTAAAAATGTATTTAGTAAAAAATGTATTAAGACAAAAATGTGAGTTCAAAAAGAAAATTGAAAAACGTAATAAAAAAAAAACCAAATTTTTTTTTATTTAAAATGCATTAAATAAATGCATAAAACTCGAAAATGAACGAAAATAACTTGCTAATTAATATTTTTATTCATTTTGCAAAATAATTGCATTTCGAAAGTGGTGTCACTGAGTCTGCTGCGAGAATTTCTAAGAACGTGCTTAGCCACGCTGAATAAGCGCTCCACGGGAGGTCAAGGTATTTAAACACGAAGTTAGCTGTGAATGCATATATATTGCACATTAATTTTATAAATCAAAAAAACATAAGCATTTTTTTAAATTTGATTTTTTTCTTCCTTTTTTTCTTTTTAGAAAGCTTACCGAGCTTCAGAAAAAAGTAACGATTTCATTCGACATTTCCGTTACAAATACTTGTACTTTTTCCCTAAAAAAGTAACGAAAGTACAAGTAAAAGTACTAAATTTAAAAAGTAACGAAGTACAAGTAAAGTACGTACTTTTTACTTGTTCCGGCGGTACAAGTAACGAAAGTAAAAGTACTGCCATACATGGTGGTTACTGTACTGGACAACAGGGGCAGTGATTGTGGGTTCGAATCCCAACGTAGGCGTTTATGCAACCTTCTCTCTCGGTGTGTTCTATGTCCTTTCTTTGGTGTGAATGCAACCAGCCCCATAAACGGGTTTGTGGCTGTATAACGTGGGCGACGCTACTCCGCATCCATGGTTTAGCCACATGTCCCCATTGGGTAACAGTAAGAGAGTAGCAATTCTGGCACTTCTGAGGCCGATGGGAAACAGACCCGAGTGCCTGTTATTAAAAAAATCAATCAATCAAAATACAAAGACAAATTAAGACAAATTTAATTTTATTGAAGTTCTCAATTGATGAATAACACAGAGGAAAAACTCCTTTTTATGAAAAAGGAAGTAAGAAATATAGAAATTTCTTCCCAAATCTAACAAATGACGATTCCACTCTTTCCACTTCCTTTCTTTTTAATGGCCACAGTACTCTTTCATCACATTTCATAATAGCTTCTCTAGCTCCTTCCCATGGATGTGGTCCTTGTAGTCTGTACTGATAGGAAACACTAGGACCAAATATTAATTTGAACCAGAGCTGCGGATCTGTAAATAACATTTTGTAAAAATTCGGTTTAGCACCTATTAGTTCAGCAATCTCGTCTTGAAACTGCGTGTAATCGACGCGAACACCTTGTTTACTGCAGGGTGCATATCGTTGCTCGTTGATTTCAAGCCTTTTCTTGATATCATCCATCATTTTTTCCTTCGAAGGTAGTTTTAAATTTCCTGCAAACACTTGGGCCACCCATCGACACTGCATTTCTCCCATTGGAAAAGACGGACCAAACGGTAGAAAGAACCCCACGAAGGCCAATGTGGAATGCTTTAAATCAGGATACCATGTGCATTTGTACAAAGTAAGCTGTTTTTCCATTTCTGTACGGATGTCTTCTTCAAGAAAAGGAAACTTCCATGTGTAGCCAGTAGCCATTATGACTACATCGGCTTCATTGACGGACGATTCGCCTTCAAAGAGGACCCCATTCTCGGTGAATTTTGATATGTCCCGTTTTTGAATGATAGAGCCAGAGAGCAATTTTGATGCAAGATGGTCGTTCAAGACTGGGTCTTTAGAAAGTACATGAAACTTAGGTTTGACTGCATACAAATTTGAGTTAAACTTCGGATCAATAAGGACAGTTTCAAGAAGCCAACTTAATAAATTTGCCGGTAACAAGTCAATTAAAAAGGTAATATAGCGTCGGGCCAAGGCATGATCGATTGGCAAACCATCAGGACCAACTCGATTCAAAACATGTGCTCCCGTTCGTGTACTTAGATAAACCTAAAAGGAAAAAAATTATATTGGAGAATGAATTTTATTCATATGAAATTTATATTTATTAAAAAATTTTAGTATTTTCTGATTCATGATAAAATTCTGGTTTGCGAGAGCGGTATATATTTTTAGTGAGTGCATAATTATGCTTAGGAGAACACAAATTTATGTATTTTTGGCTTATGATTTTGTAAATAAGCTCGATTAATTCAAACATAATGGATACAATTAATTAATTTTGTTATTATTATTGTAATGGGTATATTTATTAATTGTTTATTTTGATGCGATGTAAAAACATCATTCACTTTTAAAGGTGCCCTTAATAGTCTTAAAATAAACTTAACAGAATTCAAATTCAGTTAAGCTGGAAGTGACAAACTAGAACACCTTACCAAGACTTGTTTAAGGCGATTTACGTTCTATTTCAAGCAAATATTTTATTGTATGATTGATGGTTTATCAACGAGTAATATACAAATTTCAATAAATTACTTTTGTTTCATCAAAGTCTGCTTTTGATAGATGATATGTTGACGATTGATTCGCGTCACATATCGTTTAAAATGGAAAACGAATACAATGATCATTTTCGTAAAATTATGAATTCTATTTATGCTTGGATCGTTCTCGACCCCTTCTAAAGTAATATGCATTTGTACCATTTTGAAGAAATCATTTTGTTTTATTAAAGTCTGCTTTTTATAGACCATATGTCACGATTGTTTCAAGTCACTTTTAGTCTATAATTGGTAACTCCAACTGTTATATTTTAATAAAAGCCAATCACTGGACTAGTGGTTACTGTACTGGACTATGGGGCCGGTGGTTGTGAGTTCGAATCCCACACTAGGCATGGCTGTAACTTTCTCTCTCTCTCTGTTATATATCTTTTCTCATGCGTGATTTTGTGAATGTAACCTGCCCTATAAACGGGTTTGAGCTTGTATGACATAGTCAAAGCTACTCCACCGGGGTGACTTAACCACAGGTGCCCACTGGGTAACGATAAAAGAGTAGCGATTCTGGCATTTCTGAGGCCAATGAGAAATAGACCCAAGTGCCCGCCATTGAAAAGATATTGTAATAAAATATATTTGTTGCAAATTTAAAGTTTAAAAAAATATGAATAATAAATTGAACTAAATATAATTGGATATAGTGAATTAGTAGTTTAATTGTGAAGAAAACTGCTTTAAATAAATGCTATTACCCCTCCCCGTTTTCTTTCTGCCGTTTGGTATCTCGATCCTAATGAAGGTTACTAATTATGGAACCGAAACTTTAGTATATTTGATTTTGGAACTTAATTCATATTGCATAACTTTATTTTAATAAAAAGTACAAAATATACCTTTTCTAAGTTCGATATGTCATTTGATTCAAATGTAAATTCTTTCAAAAAGCTCAATTGCCATTTAAATTTTGTCTTAGCCAACATCAGCATTTTTGCTAAGAATTTCGGTGTTTCGTGAACGCGAGTAGTTAACTTAAGAGAGAATAATTAAGGAGAAAATTTAAAACTTAAGAAATTAGAATAAAATGTGAGAAAATAGAGCCGCTAAAGTCACAAATCATATCCTACGAACACTTACTTGTTTTGCCACACTACTAATTTCAACTGCAGCATCTAAGCCAGAACAACCCATTCCAACGACAACTACGTTTTTCTTCTCGTATGGTGCGACACCTTTCACACTGTGGGAGTGGATTATTTTTCCTTTAAACTTGTCTTGACCTTCATATGAGGGCCATTTCGGTACATTAATGTGCCCCACACAAATAGCCACTCCATCATATGTATCCGAAGTGACCTCACCCGATAGAGTATTTTTCACGCTCACGATCCACCTGCCAGTCTTTTCATAATCAGCAGCCCGTTTTACCTCAACGACTTCTGAATTGTACTGGATGTGATTTAAGACCCCTTTTTCAGTTGCATAGCTCATGAAAAACTCATGGAGTTCAGAGTGTTTCATATAATTGGGCAATTCTTTGGGTGGAGGATAGTTGCTAAACGCTCCGATCTCTTTGCTGTGGTTGATGATTGTTGTTGGCATGATTGAAGGAACTCCTATGGTGGATTCTTCTCGGTAGCTCCAAGTGCCACCTAGCCTGTCTGTTTTCTCAAAACAGATAGGCTCCATGCCGCCCTCTTCTTTTAGCATTGCGATGAAAGCACATCCTGAGAAACCGCCACCTGCAATGGCTATTCTCTTCTTGACATCTGGTACCATGATTCTGAAAAAAAGATTAATGATAACAAAAACATCCCCGAAGCAATTTATTTTTAAAATTATTCTATTAGAAAATATAAATAAAAAATACTACATGAATCTTAAAGTACCCAAATAACTTTAGAGGCAAAATTTTGAAATTTTTGACTAAGACATTGGATTATTTGGATTTATGTGTGTATTACACTCTAAAACGTGGTATAAATACCAAAAATATGAAGGAAAAAAATGGGAGGACTAGTCAAAAATTACCCAAAATCGACCTCTTTTCAAAATCACAAAGCTTTATTGAAATTTATTATTTTTGCATTATAGACGATAGCATCGCTGGAATACGCCATCTAGGGAGAAGAGCGGTTCCATGTCTTTGGCCCTTCTCTCTTCCCTCTCCTTGTCTTTTCAGTTGTATAGGAATGTACTACGATATTTTTTCCTTTTCTTAATATTTTTCACTTTTAATTACTAAAAATATTTTTTAAAATTTCCATGATGCTTTCTTCTAGAACTATGTTTAATATAGTTTTCAGATCCATATAGTTTCCCAACTTAAAAGATTTTAATCTATATAAAAATCAAGACAAAAACTAACGTACTTCCTTCTTCTATGACTTTTCACACGCTAATGATGAAAGCTTACGAAGTGTTACCATAGGTAGAGAGTTCAACTCTACACCACCTGTAGCCTATTTCGATCGCCAATTCATGCTTTATGTAATACTCATAAAAGCTCAACTTAGGTGACAGACTACGCGTTAGACATGGAAATAATATTTAGATATTTTACTTCAAATATCGAAACTTATTTGGCAAAAAAGCCAACAAGTTGTTGCCAAGGATTTTAAAAAAGCCAAGAATTTTAGCTGTAAAGTATAAAATAATAGTTTAATCAACTAGACAGTAATATATTTCTTTGATATATGTATAGCAACGGCCTGACTAGGATAGCCTGGTTGGTAGGGCGTTGGGCCCTTGTCCAAGAGGTTGTGAGTTCGGTCCGTGACGGTCGAAGCATACAAAATGCTAAAAATAGGCGAAAATTAACTTTTGCAAATTGATGCAATGTCTACACTGTTTTTACTTTGCAAAGCTGCAAGTTAAGAAATATAAGCTGATATTTCGAATGTTCCATGTTTCGAATGTTCTGTTATGTAAGTTTCATAAAAATATTTATTTGTTCATTAGTTCAGTTTTCTAACTTAGCTTACTAAGTGCTTAGTCTAAATCAAATCAAATTTTAATATTTTTTTTATATTAAGTTTTCTGAATTTCAATAATTTGAATTGTTAAGTTTGTAACACTATCTTATAATAGACATGAAAAACTTGCACAGACATGACATTAGTTTTAAGCTCTTCTTTAAAAAAATTGATTTATATGTTATTAATGATATTAAAATTATGTCCGAAGTATTGAATGTCTAGATTATATAAAAATAGTAGGAATGATTAGAACAAACGGGACAATTTGCAACTTATCAGAAATAAAAATTATTAACTAAATATCTATAGTTTGAAGAAAAAGAGAATAAAAACATTTAAGTAGTATAAAAAAACAATCATGCTTATTCATTTTTAAAAACTGCTTATTCTAAATATTTTTTATCCTTTTTTTGAAATTTTAAATAACATCAAATTATGAAAATGATCTATATTTAAAATTTATTAACTACCTTATAATGAATTTAACTGAATTGCTCTATCACTAAATACATAAAAAATCTGTACTGACAAAGATCAATGTAGATGTAAGCAAACACTGATAGTAGGTGCTGGCTAGAATGTTTTATGTAAAGTGACGTCACAGGCAAGGATCGTCAGCAACCGACCATTTTTGGCAGTAACATTGTGGGAGTAACATCGTAGAACTTTTTTTCTTGTCTAGTTTTTAAAGCTCTTTCATTGTAAAATAATTTTGAAAATCATACGTATTACCCATTATTAACACGTGAAACACATATTTTCTCATAGCTCTCAAAATATTAACTTGGTGACGTCATATTCATTTGCTGTGAAAATTATTTAGGTTGATTTTACTTGCTTTTAACATGAAATAAATAAAAAAATGTCAGAGATAAATGATTACTTAAAAATGTGCAATATACTCTCAATGGGACTCTCTTTTGATTGAACAGAGTTGTCAGCTAGCAAATATCACTTATACTATCAAAAGAAAAAGTATTAGCAACTATTAAATGTCTATTTTGCAAAGTTTCTGAGCAAAGTACGCTTCGAAGAATAACAAATTCCATCTGAGGGTACGAATTAATTTTTAGCGAATTTTGGACTGAGGAATAAGCGGTAACTCATGGCATCCACTACTTGAATTTCAGGGTTTCAGCACAAGCGGTTCAAGAGTAACCAGAAGCACGTATTAATACGAAATATTTTTTAAATTTTTAGCTGGTTACCTGTTCTTTGTGTGGAAGAGAAAAATTGCAAATAATTAATGAATAAGTTTTCAAACAGTTCAAGAGTTTAATCAGAGACACGTATTAATAAGAAATATTTATTTAATTAGTAGCTGGTTACCTGTTCTTTGTGTGGAACAAAAAAAATTGCAAATAATTAATAAATAAGTTTTCAAACAGTTTAAGAGTTTAATCGGAGACGCGTATTAATAAGAAATATTTTTTTAATTACTAGCTGGTTACCCGTTCTTCGTATGGAGCAAAAAAACTGCAATTAGCGAAAAAAATATGAATGAAATTTTACGATACGAGCACAAAAGTCAAGTTCCTCGTAAGTTAACTATATTTGAATATTAATATCCCCATTTAAATATTTCTTCGTTGTTAAATTTTTGTTTTAAATAATTAATTTTAATTTTTTTCGTCTTCTACTTAATAAAAACGGTTGAATCTTAAAATTTTTCCATATAAAAATATGTTGATTAATATGGTATAAAAATAAATCACACCTCATAATTCAGATTTTTGTTCATCCTCAATAAAATTAAATAATAAAAAATAAAGAAATTATTATTAAAAATTATTTTTTGCATGAAATTTTCTTTNAATTACTAATAATTAATGAATAAGTTTTCAAACAGTTCAAGAGTTTAATCAGAGACACGTATTAATAAGAAATATTTATTTAATTACTAGCTTGTTACCTGTTCTTTGTGTGGAACAAAAAAATTACTAATAATTAATGAATAAGTAACATTAAGGGGTCCGACCTTTGGATAGCTCTCCTGATCAAACTGCAGTGCGTCTACCACTACAAAAATACAATTCCAATTCACTAGTATATAAGGTATGTTAACTCGATTCTATGTAGGAGTACATTTTCAAAGATGAAGGTTGACATTGTCAATGTTACTCTCCCCACATTGCTGACCTGGACGTGATGTGAATACACCTTCCCTGACAGAAATTCCCACTTCGATTGGAACAAGCTTACTTCGATGAATGGTCCACATTGAACAGTTGAATTGCTCCTTGTGACTGTGACGATGTCCACCACCTCGCGCTGTTGCTACTCAGTCTCGATCACCCACAACGTGAGGCTGCATGCACTCGACATCTAACGACAAACACAGGAGCAATCACAACGCTGAACTTCATACAGCTCTCACGATCAGCAAAAGTACGGTGATCTTAATACAGTTCTCCCGGCTTCTCGCAAAACATCAATGAATCAACTAGTGGTATCCGTTCATTGAATTCTATCATATGTATAATTCTGGTGGGAGAGTACTGTAGTGTGTCTACCCCTACAAAAATACAATTCCAATTCACTAGTATATAAGGCATGTTAACTCGATTCTATGTCCAGGTACAGTTTCAGAAATGAAGGTTGACATTGTCGATATCTATTCTCCCCACAAAACTATGGGTACCGTATTTCCTAGCTTCAGACTATATTAAGGTTAAGAATCCAAATATGTAAAAAATAAATTTAAAAAATGCTTATTCAGAGAAAGTACGTTGTTGTGTCCGATTTCGCAACTTAATTATTAATTAGCTCTTAATAATAAGCATATTTGAAATTCCCCTCAGAAACCATTAAGACTGACATTGAGTACGTGTAAATCTGATTATTAGAAAGAAAGTTATAAAGGGTATCTTTTTTTGCCTACAGTACGTTGCTTTGCTTGTCTCGCCAGCCCAGACAGTAAATAAGAATAACACAAAGACAGGCAAGAAGTTATATAATATTCTGCTTAAATTATTATATATATCGAATCAATTCAATTTATTTTTTAAAATCTTTCAAAAATAACTTTAAACTTTTTAACTATCAAAACAATCAAATATATTTATATAAAAAGTATTGAAACTTCAGAGAAATATATTTTTAGAACTGTTCATATTATTTTTATACTTACTTTGTGTTTACTTCCAAACAAACCAAAAATCTATAGATTTTCCTGGTGAAATAGTAGTTTAACTTGTCTGTTGCGTTTTATCAAATAAAAATTGTATGCAGCAAGTAGTGATAAACATTTTGAAGCTTTTCCTCGTCAATTTATACACACTTTTTGATAAGTGTAAGCGATTCGAATCTGTTCTGTTTATTTTTTGTTCCTTCTTGTTATCTAGAACCTTGATTAGAATTTTAAAAACAAAAATACATAATCAAATATGCATTATCTGACATGCAACGCGTTAGATATTGTTTCTGTTAGTACAGTCTAGTAAAAAAAATGTAAGTGTAGTAAAAAGTCTAGTAAAAAAAAACACAGACCATATTTGAGTGCTTACTCAGGAATAAAAAAAAAGAATTATAACCTGTAAAATGTATACAAATATTTAAAACTAATCTTTAATAAATATTACCAAGCATTGACTTCTATTCAAAAGTTTAGAAGATAAAATGTTGAATGCATTTTTTTGAACTCTAGATGAAATATTTGCATTCGAAATTTGAATTTTAAGAAAACAAAACATTATCTCATGGACGTTGTTAATTATTAATGCATTTTTAGTGTAGGAACTCCATACTTTATTTTCATGTATACCGATCATACCGTAAATTTACATAAATACCATAAATATCAAACTACACTTTTTCTAAGCATGCTTGTATTCATTGTTGCAATCTATATATATAGTTCTCTTACACGGCGACAAAAAAAAGCCTTATTACAACTTCCCGAATGGCAATGCTAGAAAATCGACCAATGATTGCCGCTAAAGATGTCACATGCCAAATCTAGTTGAGGTGGCTCAACATATAGCGCTTTTAAAAATGGAAACTGAAATAACCAGAGTGTAAAATATTACATGCTTATGCGAATCGTATTTTTTGTTAAATAATTTATTTATTATATATGAGTTTATAGATGGTAACGAGAAGAGTTTTGTAGTTGCTATGGTGACTAATTAGTGTTTTTTCGAGTGAGTGTGAGATTTGTTTTTTGGAACTGCGATGCTGCAATTTTATTATTTAGTTAATAAATCTTCCTTTTATATTAAACGTGATAGCTGATTCCTTAATTATTTGATTCGAAGTCCTTTGAGTTTCATTTGAGGTCAGTTTATTTTATATTTTTTGACAAGAGAGAGCATTCTCAGCATGTGAGATTTCTGTCGAAATTCAGTGTTTTGTTTATGCAGGTTTTTCCATTGCAATTTACTTATTTCAATTTTTAATAGACTTAATTATAGCCAAAATTTTAACCTTTTTAAAGAGATATCAGTTTTAGAAATTTTATCTTAAGATTTTATACTATAGCACATTTCTAATAGGTTTAACGAATTACATGTCATTTATTTGAATTCAAATTTATTTTAATGACTTAGTATTTACTAAAAAGATGTAATTTTTTTTTTTTTAAAAAAAAGTTGTTATATGGATTTGAATGATTGTTTTGAATCCTTAGAATTTTGTGCATTTGCAATGTGCCTAAGTTAGTAGCGAGCGAACCGAGCTTGTTTTGCGAAGCAAACCATATAAGATTGCGTAGCAATTTTCGGGGGTTGGCGAGCGTTAGGGAGCAGGGGGAGCAGCCCACTAGTAAATTAAGTTAATTAACGATGGTTGATAGATTGCAATCATGATCAATCATACATTAAAATTACAATTATAAATTATTTAATTTTTTTCTTTTTTTTAAAGTACGCTGGTTAATAAACATTCAAGATTACCGAAAAAAGTTATATTTACGGATAAACGATTATTTTTTGCCAAAATCAATCACGCATTGTCCCGCAGTGGACTGATCGTAAAGACATGGTTCCCACTAGAACACCGAAGTGAAGCATCAGCGGCTGCTGTCAGTAAACTGGTTGGTGACCACTTTGAACAGCCTACGTAGGGACCGAGGGTGCGCGGTATCGGTCTTCGTTAAACTGTTCTACCTTAGAGTGCTCGACTTCACGCTCAGGTCGTCGGGCAGTCAAAGCGGAGCCATCCTCTCTGAGAAGGATCAAACTTGTGATGGCATGTCTTCGGATCATCCTCGAGGATGTATCTCAAAGCGTCGCCAATAGCCCATTACGAGACGTGGTGGCGCGGAGAACAGAGCGCTCGCCTTCCGACGAGGTGAACCGGGTTCGAATCCCAGCGATAACTGCTAGATGCGAATTCCGCTCACGGCTCGCACCGACCACAGTACTGAGGTTAAATATCCTCAGTTGTAGACGGATCAAGGGTTAGAGTCCCCTTGCCGAGCTAACTGTGGGAGGCTTTCATGGTTTTCCCCTCCGTGCAACGCAAATGAGGGTTAATCCATCAAAAAGTCCTCCATAAAAGCAAATTTCTTCCAATACTTGATCCAGGAGTTTCATTGTCTTCTGTATTGTGTTCAAAATTATAAGGCTACGGAGTTGAATATTAGTCATCGCAAACCCGAAATTGGGTAGGCTGTTCAACGACGGTTATAAAATAAATAAAATATCCCACTGTGCAGTAGGGGAGAGAGGGGTCAATTGTAACAGGGTACGATTGTAACAGAGCAAAAATTTCGAGTGTCGGGTTCTAGATTTGGTTCCGAGGTGGCGCACAAGGTGTATTTAATAAATCTACGTGTACACCCCTGATAGCAACTATTTTTATGTACTTTTGAAAGAGTTGCATCACAAAAGATATTTTCACGCTACGTAAGTACTTTTTTTGGTATTAGAATATTATATTGAAAAAAAGCAATTTTGTTTAATCAAATAAAAATTATTAACCGAATATGTAAGTGGACACCTTAATTAACATTTCAGAAAAAAAGATTAGTTTTGTTAATTAACTAGCATTGTTTTTAACAAATGAAGCTGAAATGGCGTCTTGAAGACGATTGTAACAATAAGTAAAGGGACGATTGTAACAGCTGAAAATAAATAATCTTATGTTTACAAACCATTACTTAACTCTTTAAGAACCATCAAAAGTTTCCTGTATCATTTATATTATGTTGCATGTGCATTATTTTATTTGTCACCTTTCACAGCATAAATTAAAATTTTTAACC